TTTCTTAACTCAACTCAAAGTGTTCAACTTTGAAATATATGTGTCAATTGCGTAAATGCTCCGCTTATCCGACCTGTTTTAATTTTTATACATTTTAAATCATTTCACCCCTAGAAGAGAGAATAAGAAAAGAATGAGAATTAAGAAGACTGAAAATAACAATTGATATTGTATTTAAATTTTTGAATATCAAACGCAAGGAGCCAAAAGAGAGTTACCCATATGATAAGTGCTTGAGAAGAAACTGTTAGCATTGAATTTACCGTTACATCAGGCATTTCAACTGTAGAATAATGCTACCAATTTAGTACTGGACTTAAATTCATAAAGTCTAGGTATTGTAGGGAAGGTAATATTTATTTTCAAATTACAAAAATGAGTCACAAGGTCAAAAGTCGGATCGGAGAAGACTACTCTTCAAACTGTCTTATCCTAAATTTAGCTAGCCACAATAACTGACCCAAACATATTACAGTATTACTGACACCAGAACAACACATTCGTATTTACCGTTACAACCGCCATAATATGTCAATGTCACTATGAGGTCATAACTAATTCCCATATGTACAATTTGAATTTTGGGGGTGGCGATAAAAACATTTTTTTTTCAGTGAATATTTGCAATGATTACAATTTTATATACAAAAAACTAAACCTATAGGAAAGTTCATCGGAATTTCAAGAATTTATAGGCAATACTAGATTGGCAAATAGCTTCCATCATCTTACAGTTGAAATTACTAGATTCAACCATAAGTTTTATGCAAACAATTTCCTCTCTGGCACTTCCCGGTTGTGGATATCTACCCTGGCTCCTTGCTTTCCCATAAACTTTGATCTTCAAAATTTTAAATCCGATATCAGTCGTCAGCTAATAACCTTTCAAAGTTTTTTTTTTTTTCATTTTTTTTTCTGTGTTTGCCAGTAACCCAGTATCATTCATATATCATATGTTGTTAAGATTACGTCCCCAAATAATAAATACTGGTACATGTTCTTGTCCTATTAAGGAAGTGGTTCTCAACTGGGGTCCATGTAACATTACTGGGATCCACACAACAAATAGCAAATTGGCTGATCATTCACTTCGGTACGGTTGTTACAAGGGAGAATTGAAATTTACTCTAATATACGCCATATTAAAATACTAAAAGTAGAAACTAGCAGAAAACGAGATCAAGCGATGTAAGTTAGCGTCCCTTTTAGACGTTTTGATGTTAAAAGTTGAATGAAACTTCAGTAGGATATCTAAAGGAAAGATTATATATATATATATATATATATATATATATATATATATATATATATATATATATATATATATATATATATACAAGTATATAATTAATGTATACGGAATGAATTCCAATAACCACCAATTAATATTCTTAAAAGAGTGCTCAATACAAAGTAGAGCTAATATAATTATTTATTAAGAAAATTTATAACATAAATAATTATATATATATATATATATATATATATATATATATATATATATATAAAAAATTATATAAAGAATATAATTTATTATATAAATTAATTTAGTATCTTAATAATAAATAATAATAATACGAATTTTAATATTAATAAATATTAATAAAATAAAATATTAATATAAATGAATTGATATCATAATAAACTCAACATTGTGTTTCCGACATCGATGGAGCCAAATATAAATAACTAACCTTGACCCTCACCGACATCGATGGAGCCAAATATAAATAACTAACCCTAACCCTAACCCTCACCGACATCGATGGAGCCAAATATAAATAACTAACCCTAACCCTAACCCTCACCGACATCGATGGAGCCAAATATAAATAACTAACCTTGACCCTCACCGACATCGATGGAGCCAGATATAAATAATTCGTAGAGCAACATGAATCACAATGACCCCATTGAATAAATGTTCACTTTTTTTTTACTTACATATTTTAAAATGGTTTATTATAGCTTATTTTATTCGTGCAAATAAATGTTTCATAGAATTTAGTTGTTAAATACAAGTTTATATTTGTTAAATTAGTTTTACTTCAAAATAAATCATATACATTTACTATTTCTAAATACAATTCCTAAACTTATCTATTAGCAATAAACAAAATAAGCTGTTATTTCTTCGAATGATTATGGGTTCCACGAAGAAAAATAAGAGTAAAAGTGGTTTAGCGGTAAAAAAAAAAGGTTGAAAACCACTGTCTGAGTATAGACTCGTTGTGTAGTTTAATTTCAGCACCCCTATCATTTTATTTTTCACTTCCACTCTGGATCATATGGATCTATGGTTTCTCTCACGATATTTACGCAAAAAGATCATGAATGTCATGGTCGGAAAATCATCATCTAGATTACATCTTCTAGATTCATGCTAGGTCGCGGAATTTAAAAAAATATATATATCCCATAATTATCTGTAGGGGCAGCATTTGTACTGCAGTGAGTGGTGTTTCTTGGGCAACATAGCCTGAGGGAGCTCAGCCCTCTCCAAGCCAGTTATGAGTTTTTTCCTTCACCTCGACTGGTTGCCACACTGCCCGTCTTGCTATTTACCCATATCTGGGAGGAGAAGAAGAGGATCCATACGTTTCCGAAGTATTAACACGTAAATGAATGTAATGGATCCGACAGTAATTCAAACGAGTCGTAAGATTCGTCGGCGACTGTCGAACTCTCTGGATTAGCAGAGAGGAACCCGGACGAGGCTTTGCCGAAGGGCAAGGTTTCGTCCGGAGAGGTTGACAGGGCCTGAAAAGCCATATTTTTGGCCGAGCCTACGGGCTCGGGGATACCCACATTAAAACGGCCTTGTGCCACATTCGATCCTCGTGGGTGGATTGATAAATACCGACTGTAATTCGAACTCGGCTCTCTGATTCCTCAATCCGAGCTGCTATCCATCACTTCACAGTTCCTTCTTTTATTGTTCTTTTATTTATTCTTTCTTTTTCCTTCGTCTTTTTTTTTACATTCCCTTTAGATCTTTAGTTTCCTATCATCATCATTATCATTATCAGTCCTTCGACTGCTTCAATCGTCGGGTGGAGCTGAAGGAAGAAGAAACAGACAATCTCCTCGAGTTTGATCTGTTGGTGGTGGCTCTCAGGACGCCCGATATTGTCACGTCCTAGACATGTGACAGCAAAGGAATACCCAGTACTGTAATCCTGTATGTATGGGTGGTTTAATGTATAATGGGTGGGAAGTTTTAATCGAATCGACGAGTTCCAATCTCAATGAGGTTCACTGTATTCAGTTACGCGCGAATACCAAAAGGGAAGATATAAATTCCTCACTTCTCCCCAGCTATAGATTAATTAGTAACACTTGTGTCATATATTATACTGTAATAATAATTATTATAAATCAGTATTATATTTTTAAAAGATCATACAACCCAAAAGTATTTTCTGGATTTAAATAAACTGCAGTGGGGAGATAATTTGTAGAAAACGGATCAATAGATCGATCAAACTATGGTTAAATCAATAGATCGATCAATCTGTCGTTAAATCAATAGATCGATCAATCTATCGTTAAATTGTCCAACATTCATTATATTAAACTGTATAGATATTAAATAGAAATTCAACATGATTTTCATTGTTTTCTAACGAAATTCTTCTGTCTTCATACTTTCTTTAGTTTCAGAAAGGCATCTTCCGCAATGTGCCGTCGGATGTCTGTGTCACACTGTAGCGTCTGTTATGATACCATTCACATAGTTACATTTCTGTAGCTGATTGATTCGAAGCTCACCCCTTGGATAATGTCTCAGCTTTGTTAATCGAAGTGGCGAGTTCCAATTCTAGGTGTGTTCATTATATTCACTCACGCTCAAGGAATCAATCTACCTCTTCTCCCAGCTATTGGTTAATTAGTAAGACATAAAGCAGTAAAAGGTTATTATCCATAAAAATTGCCACAAACTAAAATATTTTCCGGCTTCTCAATAATCTACAAAGAGTTGATGAATCGAAGAAAGTAAATC